CGGAAAATGAAGCCCTCGGCAAAAACTCAAGATACTCAATACTTCATGTTGAAAGTCAACTAGGAGACAAGAAGGACTACAGGAACAGGAAAAAGCAAACCGACGACAGGGAAGGGGAAAAGATCGGCTGTAGCTATGCCTGGGGGTTCTTTTCTCCTCAATTCTCCCAGAACTAATGGAGCCCTTAATACAGACAAGAAATAACAGGTCAACGTACAGGTCAACCAGAGGAATAAGCCGCACGATTTAACTCCCCATCCCGGTACAATATTAGCAAGAACCGTCTGACACACGAAATTGACCTGAGGCATAAAAAACGAGGAAGGGCAGGTGGGGAAATAGAAGGTGCAACTTAAGCGCGCTGTTCGGCACAATTACTGTTTATTATCATTTTCGGAATGCGTTAGGAGAGGCACGTCAAAGGAGGGAGAACAGATCCCGACTCACCGCCACATTGCCGCAAGTTTGAAAGGCGGTGAACATAAACATAAAGGCAACTCCTAAAATTATAATGTTGAAGAGCTTTTTAGATTCCGGGGACATTGTGGCTCAACTCGGCCGGGGGTCCGCAGCGGCCCAGGGCGGTCAGCTCTCCTCGGGGCGAACCCACTGACAATCCTGGGGAAGGAAATGAGATGGTGAGAAGAGGAGGCCGATCCAGGAGCAAGGCTGCCAAGCTGTCAACTTCCAGTTCTTGGATCAGAATCGCGGGCCAGAGTGAGGTCCTCCCCGCGGGCAGTCAGGACATTCCTAGGAGCCGATCCGAGCAGAGAAGGGCCCGACCCCGGGAGAGGCGCCAATAATGTCGTGGCTCAGGTTGAGGGGCCCGCGAGGGGGATCGGGGGCCAAGACCGAGGTGCAGCGGCCGGCGCGGCCCCGCCCGCCCGGCCCTGACTCACCGCTGGTCAGGCGACCCGGTCACCTGACCGCAGCCTCGGCCGGCCGCTCGGCCGGCTGGGAAATGTAGTCCTGTACAGCCCGAGACGCGTAGGCGCGCCGTAAGGAGGGGAGGGGCGCCAAACCCGCGCACCCCTCCCCCCCCAAGGAGGAGCTTGAAAGCGGAACCCCGCCGAGAAATCGGGAGCTGCGGGAGGGAACCCGGAGACGTTGTAGCGGGGCCGGAGAAGGCCGGAGACCGCGGGGCTAACGGGGGAGGAGGAGTTGTACTCCCCCTAATAGAAGCGTAAACCTCCTGCTGAGGTCCGAGCAGAAAAGCTGCGTGGGGCACGGATATTGGCATGAAAAGAAGGCGTGGCCTGGAAGGGGAGCGCTTCCTGTTCCTTTTGAGGGAGAACGCCCGTACGGCCTCGCAGCCGGAAAGAGCTTTTCGCGGGCTTTCCAACTGCCCGAAAATTCCGCTCCCCCCTCCCAGTAACAGTGACTCCGCGCTTTTCGGCCCGCCCGCCGGACTCTGCGCAGGCGCGTCGGACAGGGGTGGGGCGCGTGGCCGCGGCGTTGCGGGGCGGGGAGGGGCGAGCCAATCAGGGGATTCATTTCCGGGTGGCGCGGGCGCCATTTTGTGAGGAGGGATATAAACGGGCGCTAGGGCCGGCTGCCCGCCCAGTTGTTTCTTTGGTGGGGTCGGCTGCTTTTTCGCGTTTCCCTCCCAACCCCGTCCGGCCTCGCTCAGCGTTTCCACGCGGAAGCCACTGCCAGAGGCGCGGCGCGGCGTCGAGCCGGGCGAGTGTGAGGAAACCGCCGCCTCAGCCGAGCGCGCGGGCCCGCCCAGGGCGTTAGTTTTCGGCGCGCAGTCGCGGCCCCCGGCCGGCTCTCCAGGGCCATGAGTTACGGTCGCCCGCCTCCCGATGTGGAGGGCATGACCTCCCTCAAGGTGGACAACCTGACTTACCGCACCTCGCCCGACACCCTGAGGCGCGTGTTCGAGAAGTACGGGCGCGTCGGCGATGTGTACATCCCGCGGGACCGCTACACCAAGGAGTCCCGCGGCTTCGCCTTCGTCCGCTTCCACGACAAGCGCGACGCCGAGGACGCCATGGACGCCATGGACGGGGCGGTGCTGGACGGCCGCGAGCTGCGGGTGCAGATGGCGCGCTACGGCCGACCCCCGGACTCGCACCACAGCCGCCGGGGCCCGCCGCCCCGCCGGTACGGGGGCGGCGGCTACGGACGCCGGAGCCGCAGGTGAGCGGGCCGGGGGCCGCGGGGGCGCGGGCGGGGGGCACAAAGGTTCGCGTGGACACGTGGCGGCGGCGGGCGGGCTCGGGGCCGCGGCGGGCGGCGGGGGAAATGGCGCCCGGGCGGCGGGCGGCGCGGTAATGGCGGCGGGGCGGGCGCAGCACGCGGGCGGGGCGCGGCCCTCGAGCCCCGATGGCCACCCTGACGCCCGGCCCGTCCGCCCGCAGCCCTCGGCGGCGCCGCCGCAGCCGCTCCCGGAGTCGGAGCCGCTCCAGGTCCCGCAGTCGCTCCCGCTACAGCCGCTCCAAGTCTCGCTCCCGCACTCGCTCGAGGTCGCGGTCCACGTCCAAGTCCAGGTCGGCGCGAAGGTCCAAGTCCAAGTCCTCGTCGGTGTCCAGGTCTCGCTCGCGCTCCCGGTCCCGCTCCCGGTCCCGGAGTCCGCCACCCGTTTCCAAGAGGGAGTCCAAGTCCAGGTCGCGCTCCAAGAGCCCCCCCAAGTCTCCCGAGGAGGAAGGAGCGGTGTCCTCTTAAGCGAATGGTAATGTCGGGGGGATCCGAGGCGCACGGCCCGAACTCAGAGCTGGGGTGTGTAGGAGCTTGTGGCGATCCGTGTTAGTGTAAGTGCGGCTCCCGATGTCGGGGAGCGGCTTTGGGAGAGATGCTGAAGAGAGGGGTCTGCAGAGAGGATGTGCGGAAAGCTTAGATAATAATGGCTGTTTCGTAAACTGTTTGAGACCTATTAATGAAAATGACTATTTCTTGCTGTTTTTATCCAACGTCTGCATTTTCCCCTTTAAAGCTGCGGTCTCCTGTTTGATAAAAGAATATTGGCCAGTATTGCAGATTTTAACTGATTTGGCTGATCCTCCAGGGACCAGTTTCTGTGGGCGTGTATTGGAGCAGGTTTGTCTTTAAATGTTAAAGATGCACTATCCTCTTAGAGAAAAGGATCAGTTCAACTATTGTTGTACTGACTGGGACTTCATATTCTAATGGATGTGGCAAACGAATTGCGAAAAGAAGCAATGAACTTTTGGAACCCCAAAAAGTTTACAGGTATCGCACTGGGTGGGGAAAGGATAGTGTGTCTTTAACTCTCGAATTGTTTGGTCCTATTTTTTAAAAGGAAAGGGCCCTAAGTAGCTCAGATATTAAAGCTTTATTCTCAATTGCCAGATGTTTCATTTAAAGACTAAAAAATTATCTTACAATAGACTGATTTTCTGATTTCAAGTTTTTCTTTGGATACCGTCCTTCCCCCCCTCCCTTTTTCCTTTTTCTTTTTCCCTCCCTTATATCATTTTTCACCTTGGTTATTTGGCCAAGATTACATAAACACAAATTTGTAAAAGCGGATGGTAGCCTTTGTGAAAATTTCCTAATTGGGCCTTTAAAAACTGATAATGGCTGGGTGGAACCTTTCCGTAACCTACTTGTTTCACCAGAGCCTTAGTAAGTACATGCCTGAAACTGAAACCATGTGCACTTTCGGCAGCTTCACTGTAATGGAAGGTAAACTGAACTTTTTTCTTTTCAAACCTAGATGGGTCAGCAAGCAACGTAACGGAAGACTTGGGGGCAAAGGACCACATACTCAGTCCATCGAAGAGTCACTTGGAACAAGCAACTGGCTATTGAAAAGGTTATTTTGTAACATTTTGTCTAACTTTTTACTTGTTTTAAGCTTTGCCTCAGGTGGCAAACTTCATTTTATGTGCCATTTTGTTGCTGTTATTCAAATTTCTTGTAATTTAGTGAGGTGAACGACTTCAGATTTCATTATTGGCTTGGATATTTGAGGTAAATTTTCCTTTTGTTTATATAGTGCTGACTTTTTTTGTTTGAAATTAAACAGATTGGTAACCTAATTTGTGGCCTCCTGACTTTTAAGGAAACGTGTGCAGCCATTACACACAGCCTAAAGCTGTCAAGAGATTGACTCAACATTGCCTTCATTCCTTAAAATTAAAAACCTACAAAAGTCGGTGTAAATTTGTTTGTATATGTTATTTACCTTCAGATCTAAATGGTAATCTGAACCCAAATTTGTATAAAGACTTTTCAGGTGAAAAGACTTGATTTTTTGAAAGGATTGTTTACCAAACACAATTCTAATCTCTTCTCTTGTGTATTTTTGTGCACTAGGCGCAGTTGTGTAGCAGTTGAGTAATGCTGGTTAGCTGTTAAGGTGGCGTGTTGCAGTGCAGAGTGCTTGGCTGTTTCCTGTTTTCTCCTGATTGCTCCTGTGTAAAGATGCCTTGTCGTGCAGAAACAAATGGCTGTCCAGTTTATTAAAATGCCTGACAACTGCACTTCCAGTCACCCGGGCCTTGCATATAAATAACGGAGCATACAGTGAGCACATCTAGCTGATGATAAATACACCTTTTTTCCCCTTCCCCCCAAAATGGTATATCTGATCATCTTCATGTATGAACTTAAAATACGGAAAATGTTAAGGAAGCAAAAATGGTTTGTAACTTTGTAAGTACTTATAACATGGTGTATCTTTTTGCTCATGAAAATTCTGTACTATAACCACTGTTTCTGTAGTTTAATTAAAACGTTTCCTTGGTGTTAGCTTTTCTCAGAATATGTCTTGGTGTTTTTTCCCTCCTCTTTATTTGAAAGACCTGTGCAATTACCTTGTGAATTGTTACTGACTGTACAGTATGAAAGTGATATGTGTAGTGTTGACTTTTTTCCCTAAGTTAACGTGGAAATGCCATTTCGGCACCCATAACCCCTAAAATCAATGCTCTAAGGTAGCAGTCTCTTGAGGTTGTGGGTACCCCCTTCTCTCCGCTTAATTTATGCCCTGTTTTTGACGATTCCCCCCCCCAAAGAACAATCCAAGTCCCTTTTTTTTTTTTTTAAACAGGTGTGTTAATTTTTGTTTTCATGGCTTTGTAACCTGTGAGTATTGTCTAGGTCATCCATCACAATCTTAAAGGCCAACAGATCTGACCATCGTCAAATTCAATGCTTGTATTCCCAAGAAGCTAAAGTGGTCTGAGTCTTAGTTGGCATGGCAGGTTGCTGATTAGTATTGACATTGTCCGAGAACAGCCTGTATGTAGGTGTAATTCAGAGACTGTCCTTTGCAAAGGAGATGACCAGCATTTCAACAGTATGTCTTCCTGGGAGGGCAGATTCTGCTATATCTTCCTTGTCTGCATCAAAAGACTCCAGAGGAATGTGGACACATTTCATATCCCACTTGTAGAGCAAAGCTTCAAGTGACCAGTCAGCACTGAAAAAAAATAAATTGTTTTTTAAAATCACGTTTTCCTGTTTTGCTTCAGATACATTTTCATTTTATCCTTTCAGTAGATACTGCATGAGGAGTAAGGATTTAAGTTTCAAAAAAATTGAGAGTAAACCAGGATTGTTCAGGCTTACCTTCTTACCTGGTAAGTGGACCACAATTGGACTTTGGGGTTTTTTTGCATCAAAAAGTAGACTGTAGTTAAGATGTCTTCAAAATCTGGGGAGAAAGGACTCCTTAAATGGACTTAAACTTAGGTCATCTCTCCAGCCAAATTTACTACTGAAGACCAAAAAAGGTTTACCTTCTGGTTCAAAGAACACATCAGATGCAAGTATAATATCTTGTGATGGTAGAGCCAGAAGATCCTGAGACACGTGGCCCCATGTCAGTCCTATGACGCGTACCTGTGGCAGGTCATTCATTTCACAGCTTTGGCGGCAGATTTCTAGACAGTGAGGCAGCTCTGAACTGTCCGACAAGATGACTTCAGCACCACATTTTGCAGCCATAATTCCTGGAAGGCTCACTCCAGCTCCAATCTAACACATTTAAAAAATTGCATTCCAAGTTCTGCTTAACCATTGCAGGGAATTTGGGGGCGTAGTTTCCGTAAGTACAGAGTTGATGATTAACTTGTCCTATCTACAAAAGGTGCTGCAATTACATTGCTTTACCATATGAAGCTTTAAGCTTTTCAATTTGTAGAAATTACTTCTTGAGATTCCTCTTACGGGGTGGGAAGGTTAAGTCCCATACAGGGCCCTGCATTCAGCAACTGTTACTTCCAACCTTCGTGGTACCTGGCAGCTTCATTGCCCAATATGCCCTAGGCAGTTTGGGACACTTGGTCATTTTCAGTTCTTTTCTAGTCTATAAAGAAACTCTTAATTATACAGAACACTGGGTCTCTAGAAGCCTGATGGGTGACTTGCATGCACACCTGGCCATTATGGTTGTTACTACCAATTTTTACTGCTTTTATGTGGTTATAACCGGACAGGTCTGCAACAGGACTTTCTGCAGAGGGGATTTTCCGGTTGGGCCTTCAAAGTGACAAGGTCTTTAGCATGCTAAGTAAGGAATGACCAAGGAATGCCTTTTATGAGTATTCTCCCTATTTAAAATGTAATTTCCAGGGACGCCTGGGTGGCTCAGTTGGTTAAGCAGCGGCCTTCGGCTCAGGTCATGATCCCAGCGTCCTGGGATCGAGTCCCACATCGGGCTCCTTGCTCGGCAGGGAGCCTGCTTCTCCCTCTGCCTCTGCCTGCCACTCTGTCTGCCTGTGCTTGCTCTCTCTCCCTCTCTCTCTCTCTGACAAATAAAATCTTTAAAAAAAATAAAATGTAATTTCCAGTTCTGAGCATGAGCTTGGAGATTCTCAGTCTTTCCTGAATGTTTACAAATTGCCACTGTTCAGGGTCAGAAGTATGCTAAGAACTCTCACACCCCTCACAGGGTTTTGCAAAAGTCAGGAGGTTACTAAGTTTTGGGTTTGTCCTGAGCCTTAAGATTTAAGCCTTGTACCATTTATGCAAACTTAACGAAAGTTTTTCTCCAAGCCTCTAGCAGTCTTAAGTCAGGTGGAGTGATGAGAAAGAGTTTGGGATACTCTAGATTTCCAAAAATGGAAAGGACTATTGTATGAGAAAATGCATGTGTCCCAGTAGACCCCAGATGACCCTGTTGGGACACCCTGAAAAGATAATCTTAATGATTGCTTCCATGCCAAGATTGTGTGGAATTAGTCAATGGGCTTCACTTAGAATAAAGGTCAGTCAGCGTAAAGGGCCAGATGACATTTTAGTCTCGGTGGGACTCCTGTGGTCTCTGGTGCACGTGCTTTTTTAAAACAACTTAAAACGTAAAAAGCATTCTTAGCTCACATGACTTACAAGCTGGCAACTCACCTGATTTAAGTCTTTAACAAAAGTCAGTAACAAGCACATAGACAAATCTGAACAGAGCATTTCAGGAAGCCTCAAGAGCACTTGTACCTCTAGGACAGCCTTGCCTGGCAGAGATCTTCTGTGAAACCAGAGGTACTGAGCCAAGACCACCGCACAGGGCCAAACATACATTCCATATTCGAGATGCAGCACCTGAAAAGAATTTTTTGTATGCCAAAAATAACTCATCTGCTGGCAGTTGTAATATTTGTTTTCACAGCAATCAGAGTGCCCGACACCCGGCATCTATCACAAAACTGACAGTTCCCTGCTGTCCAGTTCACATCCCATGGGGTTTATAAAATTGCAATACCGTGTGACAAGCACTCTTCATACACTAATTCACTCAATAAGCATTTATCAAGGGACTGCCTTGCTTAGCGGGCTAAGGATGTAACTAGGTTATCACGGAATACATACATACACACACACATACCCTATGGGAAAAGATAAGCCACAAGTAAGCACATACATTTTTAGCTGGTGGTAATGCTAACAACAAAACCTAGTGAGAGAGTAGTGGGGGCAGCGAGGGGTGGAGACAGCGACCACAAGGTGGCTGTCCTAGATAGAATGATTCTGGCAAGGGTCCTGAAGCAGGAACTAAAAAGCCTCTGGCTGAAGTACAGACAGCACTGACGGCAGGGGCATGGGGGCTGGGAGGCAGGGTTGTGGTAGTACTGAGGTCAGTGGGATGGCATGGATCAGAACTGTGGGATCGTGTAGGCCACGGGAAGATTAGCTTTTATTAAGTGCAGTTAATGTATCAGAGGGGGGCGCCTGGGTGGCTCAGTGGGTTAAAGCCTCTGCCTTCGGCTCAGGTCATGATCTCTGCTCAGCGGGGAGCCTGCCTCTCTGCCTACTTGTGATCTGTCTGTGAAATAAGTAAAATCTTAAAAAAATATATATCAGAGGATTACAATCACAGGCATAACTTGGTATGCTAAAGGAAAACAATGAGACCAGAAAGACATTCCAGAAGTTTGAGAGGAGCTCAGTCCTGGAGTTGGGAAGGCAGGCAGCTTACACAGCCTTTAGAAAGATACAGAATTCTGAGACAGCACAGTATTTAGGGACGCAAAATAACGGCTCACACCTTTGGAATGAGCCTGCCTGAGTTCAAATGCCAGATGTGTAACTTACTACCCATATGACCTCACCCATTACTTAACCTGTCTGTGCTGCAGTTTCCTCACCTGCAAAACACTATCTCATACCATGACTTGTGAGACTCAAGGCAAACTGCTTAAAACAGTGCCACGTACAAAATAAGCAAAGCGAGCAGTCATTAAACCGCAAAACTGCAAATCTTTCTGTTTTCTAGAGCAGAGGGTGCTGCTAGTGGACTGGTTGGGAAGGGGGCTGAAGCCGTGGAAGTATCAAAGGTGAATTCACTAAACAAAAATATCAGTGCCTTGCCACTGGTTCTAAGTGTAGGGAGGGCAGCGTAAATAAAATGCCTGCCCTGGAAGATCGGACGCAAGATACAGTAAAGGATTTCTGACCACAGCAGTGAGTTTGCAGATTTGGCTGTAAAGCGGTCTTTATTCTCACGTGGAGTCAGCTCCTAAACTTGGGAAGAAATCCCAGTGGGTATTCAACACGAAGGCATTTAAAAACTGTCAGAAATGGGTTTCACTCGAGACTTTACCTCTTCTTGGGCGGTTTTTCATCTTCAAATTGTTTTTGCTAATACCCTCCTCACAGAATGCTGTTAAAATCGAAACACTGCAACGTCCAAGTGCTTTGCAAAACCGGACGCATAATGTATTACTGCTATTATTCCTGCGAGTCTGGGGACAGCCGTGAGCTGAAAGGAACAAGTGAGTGCCAACCCAAGAAACTTTATTTGGAAAGTGAGGGTGGAGTCTCCCGTCTTGGATAAAGCTGAATTAAGAAACCCTTCAACAAGATCAAAGAAAATACTTGGTGTCAAAAAACGCCACCTTTCTGGCAGGAAATATTCGATGTGGAAGGCCCTTCTCGTGGCAGGGTCCCCAAGTTTCTTCCTTAAAGACTGCCAAGAGCTTCAGGCGCCAAACCTTCCTGCCCTGAGGTCCATCCTAAGACCGGGAAGCCGCCAAACCTCGCCCCCACCCCTCCCAACACCTCCAGGCCAGCTGGGAGCGGCTCCTACCCCGGGCGCCTCCGCAAAGGACCGGAGACGCCTCCCGACGGGTGCCGACGCACGCACCTGCGGGACGCTGACCTCCAGCACGGCCCCCTCGGCCCCCAGGCCCGGCTCCTCCGAGAATCGAAAGCGCTGGGCCCGGACTTCATGCCCTCGGAGGCCACGCTTGTCCAGGGGAAAGTCGGGGGTCCCCCGACGGGCCGGGAAGGGCGAAGAGCGCCGGGCTGCCAGGCCGCGCGTGCGGGAAACCCCTGGTCGACGGGGCCGCCTCACGGGCGCTACGCTGCCCTGCCGGGTCGCTGCAACTCGACTGCAAAGGCGGGGAAGGCACCGCTCCAGCGGGCGACGACGTGGCCGCGCAAGAAGACACCGGAGGCCAGGCAAAAGAGACACGGAAAGCAGGTGGCCTCGGCGACTCGCACGCCGGAAACGGGCCGCCGGGGAAGCGGCCCACGCCCGGAAGTGACGCGCACACCGGAAGCGGGCGCGAGAGAGGCGGGGCCGCAACGAGACGGCTCCTCGATCGGCGCGACCTTCCCAAAATGGCGGAGAGCCGGCGAGTGTGAGGGCGGACCCCGGAGGTGCCCGAGCCAATGGCTCACCGCGAGAGGCCGGGGGGCGGGGAAGACGGCAGCCGCGTGCCCAACCCGAGGCCCGGGAGGTGGTTGGGGAGTGAATTTTCTGGAAGGCGACTTTAAAGGCGCCGGGCCAGGGCGAAGGGCGTTTGGGTTCCGCCGCCGCCGCCGCTGTCTGGGCAGGGGAGGGGTGGTTTGGAAGCAGGAAGCGAGGCACGCCGAGGTCGTCGCGGGAGCAGCTGGTGATCCCCGGAGGATGAACCACAAGAGCAAGAAGCGGATCCGCGAGGCCAAGCGTAGTGCGCGGCCGGAGCTCAAGGACTCGCTGGACTGGACCCGTCACAACTACTACGAAAGCTTCTCGCTGAACCCGGCGGCCGTGGCGGTGAGTGGGCCGGGATCGCGGGCCGAGGCGGGGCAGGGCACCTCCGGGCGGCTGCGCGACTCCCCCGGCGTACAGCACGGCACCCCCGAGTTCCGATGGGCTCATCCGCACCCTGCGGAGATCGGGGTCATCGGGGCCGGGTTCCAGGGCGGGCCTCCTTCCTCCCGCACCGCCGCCTGCCTGCTGGGCCACCTGGAGGCTGGCGCCTTTGGCGATCCCCACAGGAAGGACTGTCGCCCCTTGACCCCTTTGGGCGGTGGGGCCCCGGGGACTCGACTGTGGAGGCCCACGAGTGGGAGATGCGAAACCCCCTTCCCCTGGTGGGGCGGCGCTGGGTGCGACGTGTCAGTCCACACGCAGGTCCTTGTCCCTCCTCTCCTCCCCCCCCCCCCCAAAATAAGCCAGAAAAAGAATCTGGTTCCTTAGGTATGTCGTTGCTAATTGGTCCTGGGGGACGCCCTTTGCTGCCGCTGGACTTTTTTTTTTTTTTTTTTTTTTTAACTGGATAGGTCTTTTCTGGTTCCTTCAGGATAACGTGGAAAGGGCAGATGCATTACAGCTGTCGGTGGAAGAATTCGTGGAGCGATATGAAAGACCGTACAAGCCCGTGGTTCTGCTGAATGCCCAAGAGGGTTGGTCTGCGCAGGAGAAGTGGACCCTGGAGCGCCTAAAAAGGAAGTACCGTAACCAGAAGTTCAAGTGCGGTGAGGATAATGACGGCTACTCGGTGAAGATGAAGATGAAGTACTACATCGAGTACATGGAGAGCACTCGGGATGACAGCCCCCTTTACATCTTTGACAGCAGCTATGGTGAACACCCCAAAAGAAGGAAACTTCTGGAAGATTACAAGGTGCCCAAGTTCTTCACCGATGACCTCTTCCAGTATGCTGGGGAGAAACGCAGGCCCCCTTACAGGTAAAGTACCTCGCCGTGAAGCCCTTACAGTCTCACGTAGGGCAGTATGTGTCACCTGAGCTCAGTCGGCTAACCTTTTTCCATAACAGTGAGTGGTTCTCTTTGGCTGCACATGGAACTTACTTAGTGGGTTACTGCTGTCTGCCCAGGTCCTACGGCCACAGACTGGTTTCACTGGTCTGGATGGCCACCTGGGCATCAGGATTTCTGAAGGCGCCCCAGGTGACTCAAACACGCTACCATAGTTAAGCCACTGGTCTTTAGAAGAAATTTTAATAGTTAAAGCTCAGTAGTAGTAAGCCACATCAGTGGTGGGGTTTTTTTTGTTGGTTTTTTTTTTTCCTTTCTGTTACAGAGCATTGCAGGCATGATTCAGTTAGCGTTTCTGTGTAGCAGGGTTTATGTAGTCTCTGAAATAAAGAGTATAACACTAAAAACTCGCTCTTTGGTAGTATACATGTACAGTTAAATTACCTTTCATATCTCGGACGTTTCCATTCCATTAGATGGTTTGTGATGGGGCCACCGCGCTCTGGAACTGGAATTCACATCGACCCTCTGGGAACCAGTGCCTGGAATGCCTTAGTTCAGGGCCACAAGCGCTGGTGCCTGTTTCCTACCAGCACGCCCAGGGAACTCATCAAGGTGACCCGTGAAGAAGGAGGGAACCAGCAAGATGAAGCTATTACTTGGTTTAGTATCATTCATCCCCGGACACAGCTTCCCACCTGGCCACCTGAATTCAAACCCCTGGAAATCTTACAAAAACCAGGAGAGACTGTCTTTGTACCAGGTATAGACGAACTAAGAGGAAGTACATTCTTTGATTTCGGTTATTTGTCATTTCCGAGCACAAGCGTATCTAGGAGTGAAAGAGACCCGTCTGCTGGCCGACTGTAGACGAACTGACCGCTGCCCAGCTCGGACAGTGACGGGCTGCTGTCCACATCTCTTGTAACCTACGTACATAATGTGTGTTGATAAATTCCTTGTATATAAAGATTCTACTCACCTTTTTGCCTAGTAGTTATCTCATGTGTCTGTGGATAAACTGTGACTTGTTCTGTAAATTGGGTTTTTAATACAGTGTAACATTGGTTCACTTCAGACTTAAGTGTTGAAAGTGAGGGTGTTTAATACTGGAGGAAGGTGTTCTCCTTGGAGCTGAAAAACTTGTTGCCTTTCCAGTTTCAATCCCAGGTTTGGACTCACAGGGGTCAACACACTTTTCCTGTAAAAGGCAGAGAATAAATATTTTAAGTGCTGTGGGCCAGACCGGGTCTATTCCAGCAGCTCAGTTCTGCCTGTGGAGCAGGAAGGCAGCCACAGGCAATCTGGAAATGAACAGGCATGGGCTGTGCTCCAGTAGAACTTTCCACAAATAGGTTGTGATTTCTGGATCAGGAGAAGCATTGACCAGTCCGGATCTTCTGTCTCTGAGTCTCTACCTGTCTCGCCTGTAGATGGGTAGATAGGAACCCTCTGTTCACCAAGCTTATGTTTGTGATCGTGCACAGAAGCAAACTCTGTTTAACTGCTTCTTTGTTGGGTTTCAGGAGGCTGGTGGCACGTTGTCCTTAACCTTGACACCACCATTGCCATCACGCAGAATTTTGCCAGCAGCACCAACTTCCCTGTTGTATGGCACAAGACGGTAAGAGGGAGACCAAAGTTATCGAGGAAATGGTATAGGTGAGAGACTTTTTTTTTTTTTTTTTTCCTTATTTTCACTTTATTCCAATTCATACCCCAGAGGTGAAATGGAAAAGAGTTCACTGCTGCAGTGACGTGTGCTGATCTTAGGCCTGGGAGAGCTGGGGCAGAGGAGAGTGGGTCCAAGGTCAGGGCTAGTTCTCAGGATGCTTGCCAGCCTCCAGGTGACAGGGTAAGACTCTGCATGTTTGATCAGTCAGTCAAAACATGGCCATAATTGGGATTGGTTCTTGTTTTCTGTTTTTTGTTTTGTTTTATTTTCTGTTTTTTGGTCCCTGCCCCCCGCCCTCCCCCCCAAAGCTAGCAGTAGCAAAGGAAGCCATTTTGTTTGGGTTGTATTTTGGTTCTTTCTTTTTCTTACTGAGAAGCATTATTCCCCTTTAAACTTAATACCTTCAGTTCTTGTGAGTGAGGTGACTGCCCTGGAGACTTAGCTCCTCTGTTTATCCACAGAACAGATACAGCACGGGCAGCGGCAGTGCAAGCCACCCCCAGCCACCCCGTGCCACTGTGTCCCAACCCTGACCTGGAGGGACCAGCTCTCGGGGTAAGAGAGGGATCCTGGCTTGGTCAGTGCTCAGCCTCCCTGCTGAGAGGGCCAGCAAGGGTGGTGGCTTCGTTCTCCCTGGACTCTCAGGCACCTAAGGCCCACTGACTCCATCCCGTCGGCCGCTGTGTGCTGGGATTTGGTCATCTTAAAGGCCTGACCACGCAGCTGGTCTCTTGTCCCAGCTTAGAGTGGATGCCAAGATCAGGTCCCTATGGGGAGGGCTGCTTCCTCCGAAAGTCCAGTCCAGTTTTATCTTCGAGTGAGGGGGACCCTCTCAGTTGCTTGCCTCTTCTTCTTTCTCGCAAACCTAATTGTTGCTCCTCTTACAAATGGAACGTAACCAAGCCCGACTGCGGTCACTCAGTGCTGTGTCGTGGGAAGGAAGGGTTTGAAAGAAGTCAGCTAGGAATGATTCAGGAAAAAACGGAAGAGAGAGACTTTCTCCCAGGTGGAAAAAAATAAGTGGCTGACTCGGGGCATCCCGGCCTCACGTCGGCAGCGCGACTGGCTCGTTGGCGTGCGAAGGTCACAGTAACTCGCGCGCAGCTAGTCCGCCTCTCAGAAAAGCCTGGGCGGCACGTTAGGGCTTCTGTTCCCAGCCTGTGGATCCGCGCGGCCTCACCACGGCCCAGCGCCCATTCTGAGCCAAGGCGCCTGCTCTTGGCAGGTGCCTCCGAGAGAGACAGGCCTCAGCTTTGAGTCCGGGTTACTGCGCGCGGTGTCGCTGCTGCTCCCAGCACTGGGAACGATGTTTCTTGTCTCCCAGGATCTTGAAGCAAGAGCACCCCGAGTTGGCGGTGCTGGCTGACTCCGTCGACCTGCAGGAGTCCACGGGGATCGCCTCCGACAGCTCCAGTGACTCCTCCAGCTCCTCCAGCTCCAGCTCGTCCGACTCGGACTCCGAGGTGAGGCCCCGCTTCCTGGAACCCAGGCCTACAGGGCAGGTCCCCCCGGGAACCTCCTGCCCGGGACGGGAAAAGGGGTGAACATTCTCCCGCTTTGTTCTAAGAGCTACAACTGCCACCATTCCTGCCGGGTGGTGAATTTTGCCCATGTTATAGCCTGGCGCGTGTGTGCTCGCACGTGTGTGTGCGTGCGCGCGTGCATGAGCTCATGCGTCGTCGGCAGTAACTTGAAGAGATAAAAGGAGTATTGGGGGATTTTGTTAAGTGAACGGCCAAGGGCCGCCCAGGTCGTGAACAGCGGTGTGGGGCTTCAGACTTGGAGCGCTGTCACCTCACAGCCGGCGGTGACAGTTGTCCCTGTGGGTGTAAATTGTAAGCTTGGAAGCTCCCCGAATTCGGTGGCTTGTTAGAAGCTGACATCATTTTGGGGAAGAGGAACCTGGGCCCTCACTGGATGGAATTTCTGTCGTAGCACTTTGCATAATCTGGGGATGCGGCGTCTTGCGGGGGCCGGGGGCGTGGGGGAGCAGTGTCAGCGCCGGACTTCTTGTGTCCCCCTCGGGGTCTGCCTGGATGCAGCGAAATGGCGTCACGCAGTCTCAGGGTGCTGACGCGTGTCTCGATTTCAAACGGCCCTCCCACTGGCAAGCCCTGGGGGGACACCTGGCATGTGAAGGAGGTCGTAGTGTCCAGGGGCCCAGAAACACCCGAGGGAGAAGGCGGTGCGGCCTGTGCTGCGGAGCGTCGTCCGTGGCTGCTTCGCTTCCTGGAGGACTCGGGTGACATTCGTGCTGCCTCTCGAGGCCGGAGGTTTATTTACAGACAGAAGGGGTCGCATCTGGTTGACTTCCTGCTTTTCACCTCCTCCCCCCCTTCCCGTGCAGTGCGAGTCGGGGTCTGAAGGCGATGGGACGATGCACCGCAGGAAAAAGCGGAGAACGTGCGGCATGATGGGCAACGGGGACACCACCTCCCAAGACGACTGTGCGAGCAAAGAGCGCAGCTCCTCCAGGTGACCGCACGCGGCTGCTGTCTCCGTAGGAGGACGTGCGCGCGGCGAGGCCAGGGCCCCGGGGAGGGCAGCCTTTTGGATCTGCAGACAAGGGGAGGGCCGGAGAAAGCCGGAGAACGAGCACGCCCTTGGAATAGGAGTCCGTTCATTTAGCGTTTGCTCCAGTAGCTTCTTCCTCCGCTACTGACGCAAAGTCACGTGGCTTCTTTTACGCATAAAGGCAAGGATTTGTGTGGATGGTGCCAAGGAAACCCTTAACGTTATTTAATAAAAATTAAAACCATTTTATATCTTTGCAACTTCTGTCCTTGGAGAATCCCAGAGCCTCCCCTTGTGGCAATGCCTGTGGTGTTGTGGGAAAGCAGCGACTCAACTGCCCCGGGCCCTCGATGGGGAAGAGATGGTTGCGGCAGTCGGGGAGGCCCGAGAGCAGGTCCCTGGTGTCCCCCGGGGAGCCAGAGGGGTGGCCTCCTGCTTCCCCGCCGCTTGCCCTTGTCACTTTGAGCGCTCACACCACGTGAGACAGCCATGAAGAGCTCCGATTTTCTCGAAGGTCTTCATCACGTCTCCCACGTTTGTTTGTGTGAACCGGATGGGATGTGAATGAGCTCAGACTTAAACTCAGAGTCAGTAAGCCAACCTCTGCCAGCGCGTGCCCTCGCGGTCGACACGCTGTGGCCTAAACTGAGGTTCGGGTCCAGAGCCTCTTCTCACATGCGAGTCCTGATGTGTCTGACGGTGGCGGTAAGCCGGGGAGGGGGTTTCGGGGAGGTAGTTCAGTACGGAAGCTCTGGGGACCCTAAGCGTCTGGGGGCCTGGCCTGCCGTGGGCAACGTTGCTGTTGCGCTGTTCGTATCTCTGAGCAGCTGGGTGTTTCCTCAACGTGTGTTAGCAGAGTGGCGGACCCACAGGCCTTGCTGTTTGTTCACGCTGGAATTCCAGAAGCTCAGGTGTCCTAGTGGCGTGAAGTGATGAGCTAGGCTCTGCGTTTCTCAACCAGATTGCCCTCTTCACAGCCACTGTTCGATTTCTCGTCTTGCTTTTCCGGGGTGTTTGTGTCGCTGTAGACCCCACCTGGCCATGCCGCGTGACTTCGTAGTTACTCAGAAAAAGTTTTAGGGTCAGCCCTGCCCTGATTTGCATGTGGGGTCTTGGGGTTCTGCTTTAACGTGTCCTTCCAGCATCCCCCCCTGCCGTGCTGTCTCCACGCTGCTGACAGGCGGTTGTGCTTTCCTTGGCAGGATTAGGGACACTTGCGGAGGCCGGGCTCACCCCTGAGCCAATACAGAGACGCTCCCTGAGGTGGCTCCTGTGTGCGCTGTGGGCGGCCGCCCGACTCAGTTTTCACATCTCCTGCTCCCACCTTCTCCTTTGTCTCCTTTGAATTCGGATCATCCTTCTCTGGTCCAAGCTTCTGTCTTCGGTCAAATGCTGTTCTTACCGCTTGCTAAGAGTAGAGGGTCGAGAAGTTTCAGAGCTCAGTGAGACCCGAGACACTGGCAGCCGGCACGCTGCGGGGCCAGGGGTCTGTGCTGTCCCCTCTAAGCTACGCTGCTCGACCTCGAGGCCGCAGGGCTGGGATCCCTTGAGTGGCTCGCCGCGTCTGATTCCTCAGCGACACGGGTGAGGAGCCTCTGCTCTCCGGGAGCCGGCGGCGCACCAGCAGGCCCCAAGGGGCGAGTGGATTCGGATTTGCGTCTGAGCCAATCACACGTAAAAAGTGCCACTCCCGTGCCACCCCCAATGTCACCCACCCAGCCAGTGTGGGCGGCGCCACTCACCACCGCGAGCTTGGGCCTTGGACACGGGACCTTCTCGCCACCACCAGACGGGCTCGGGAATTCCAGCAGCATTTCCCTGCAGTGTGTTTTGGGGCAGGGATGACGTATCAGGGTTTCTGTTTAGAAACGGGAGGGGAAAGGTCCGGTGTGTGCTCCCTGCAGAATTCAAGTTGTGAACAGGGCCCGCTTCCGGCAGATGGGTCTTTCTCCCCACGTGATCCATAAAGGCAGAAGCTCTCGCTCTCTGAGAGACGTCACGGTCAGTGTCCCCGCTGGTTAGACCCGCAGACATTAGGTAGATGGCTTGGGCTGCAGGTCAGAATAAACACACACGTGGTGCTTCTGGTCTCGGGTATGTTGAGGCTTCTGAAGGCCTCTGGTATGAAGACTTGGGGGTTGACCAGCAGGTTCCATCTCTTGCCCTCTCAGTTGACCTGCTTGCTTTAATCTGTCCCTAAATTCAGCTAAATTTAAATAAAAGTGAGAGGGGGCTTGTCAAGGATGTGCCCAGTGAAAAGCACTGAGCAGCGTGCCCTTTTCTGGGTGGAGTGTAGGTAAGGGCATGAGCAGCCGGAGGACGGCAGGAGCTGGCCCTGTAGCGTCCCAGGGGCGCCCAGGAGCGGGTGTGCAGGCAGCCTGGAACTGTGTGGTGTTGCCTCCCTGGATCCTCCCTGACCATGGGTATAATCTGGGGAATCCAGGGCTCTTCTGTGCGAAGGTTATATTTTTAACGGACTGATGATCGTTTCGTGACACTGGGTTGGTCACGTGGCTTGTCCCTAAGAGGCCCGTCCCCTACTTTGTCTGAGTTTTCTGCATTCTCAAATCCCGACCCAAAAACATGGCTGGGTTGGATGGAGAACGTCCACCATGTTCCTCAGCGTTGGCGCCTGTCACCTGCCCTCGGTGCTGCTCCGCTTCCCCACCAGGCCCCCTGGGCTCAGACAGCCCTGCTTCCTTCCATTCCAGGGTGTGTTTTGGGGGTGAGTAAAGTCAAACCCTGAACTCGTCTCTTTGTGTTCACACCTGACTGTGGTTCCTCTGTCTCCTTTTTTAAAATGTTCGTGCTATCTTCCAAAACGCTTTTTTTCTGTACCGGAGTATTGCTTTCGGGCTATCACGCCTTCCTCTCTAATTCACATCAACTTCTCTCTAAATGTCAGTGTAAAGGAAAAAAGCAAAACCAAAATTATTTGCCACCAGGGGGCAGGATAGGGCTCTTTTGCTGTGGCTGGGATGACACGGCGGAAGTTTGAATGGGAGACACTAGCCTTCCTGAGAGGCCAAGGGTGATTCCTGTTTGACAAACAATATCCAGAAAGAAGGGATCCAGCCCACCTGACAGTTCCACAGTCACCTCACCGGGAAGCATCCAGATCACACCGCTTACGTGCTGCCATTTGGTTCTTGCCATCGCACGAGTGACGGTGGGACAGTCCTTGTTTTAGCCAGGCCAGAGATTCCCACCCTGCCGCTGTCCCCTGTTGCTGTGGGCCACCCAAGCACACCGTTAGGGGAATAAAGCAGGGGGGAGGTGGGGAGCCGGAGAGAGAGGAGGGCAGTGATGGCTGGGTGCTGCAGACCAGGTAGAAAGGGGGAACCAGGTCTGTTCTAAAGTTAACCGTTCACCCCACCTGGTCTGAGCCGCCTCCTTCAAGTGACATCAACAATAGTAGGGATTTTTCTCCAACTGAAAAGCCAGCAGGCTGGGTCCTGGAAGAAGGACTCTTGGGTCCAGAACTACTGATGGGGACAAGCAGGGTCGAAGAAGACAGTGTGCGGCTCCGGGGCTTTGGGAGCGAGCACCAAAGACTTTACCACCAGCCTGAAGGACCCGGTGCCGCACACGGGTGTCTCTGGGCTCCTTAGTACTGGGATATTCAGGGTGACATCTTTGAGGGGAGAGCCACCCAGCCCAGGGATGTTGTTCCAATTTGCCTTGGGCTTGCAGACGCCCATTTATAAATCGTCCAAGTGTTCCGCCCGCGTTTCAGTGGCAGGCACTGTTTTGGGTGCTGGCGATGCAGCTGGGACAAGCGCAGGTCCCTCCCCTCGTGCCGCTGAAAGGCAGTGTGCCGTGCACGGTTCCCAAGGGTCACTGCTCAGGCTAGGTGGGGTCACGCATATCCATTTCCAGGACCAGAAAAGCAAGGTGAGACCTTACTAAATTCAAGTCTATGAGATCTTCCTAAAAGAACATAACATCAAGTTGTGATCTTAGTATTTGGTTTCTCTCTATATCAGCTAAAGATATTTAAGCATCGGCAAGAAAGTTGCTGGTGTGAGTGCTTTATGAACTTATTAGAGGTTCAGTCTGGTCGTGACATAGGATTTTAGACAAGTTGTGGAACAGAATAGGAGTTTTGCGGGTAGTGTTGTAAAAAGTGCTTTTAGGACGTAGGCATGTATGTGCACAGCTGTAGATTCCTTGAATTGTGCATAGCGTTTCCACAAGGTGTTTGTCGTGTGTGCTGGGTACTGCGATGGTTCCCTGTGTGGTTTCTCCTCACACACCCCCCTTCCTCCCTGCCTTCTGTCAAGATGTTCCACTGATGTTACATTATATGCCACAAAACTAGATGAAGCTCGCGCCGTGGCATCCTCGGGGGGGTGGCTCTCGACTTTCGTCTCATTGTTCAAAAACTTGAGGCATCTAGTCCTCACTGAAAGTCCCACGAGAACTGGCCCAGCCTGCAATCTTCAAGGTGACTGGACGGTGCAGAAGAACTGGGACCATGCAGAGTCCTTGTGCCTCTGGCCGCTGCCACAGAGACACCCAGCAGCACGCTCCGTCTGCGTCCGTCTCGCCGTGCGCTCCACCACGGGCTGCCTATGGCTCCGCCGTTTGATGGGTGGTTTTAACTTTCACTTGGATGAAACTTGTTCATCATTTTAAATAAAGCAACTTGGTTTGGAGTTGGGTTTTTTGCATTGTTTTGTTCTTGTTTCTTCTCGTTATTCATCTGGTAGTAGATACAGAACGTAGCTAAGTTTGCACAATGGTCCCCCTTAAACGTGTACTTTCAAACAATGAAGGCAGGGGCCAAAAAAGAAGGCCCGCTTTGGCTGAAAGTTCCCTGGGCGTCAAAAGCCAGATAGGAGCCCCATTCCATATTTTGTAGTTATGGGGCATTTTTCACCAATCACCACTGAAATTCCTTTTGCTGGTACCCCTTACCATTATGTGAAGCACCAGGACTAAGCTCCCCCTCTTCCTGGAGGCCTGCTGGTCTTAACTGGAGCACAGGAAGAAGCCTGAGCACATCCTTCTGCCTCCCATGTAAGCGGCACTCCATCTAGCTCCTGGCCTGCACCAGATGCCGGCTCAGGCACTGGAACTTTTCCAAAAAAGCAATAAATGTGTCATAAGCAAAAACTGGCATCCTGTTTTTTCAACTGGTACCTGACAAACTTTGCCGTGTTTACTGGGAGGGGTAAAGACACAACTTTTTGGTTACAGCGTATCTATCTCAAGTACAACCGAAGGAAGGATCTGGGGAAAGAGAAACAGCAGAATTCCCTTCATTCCACCCTCCCTACACGGGAAATACTCCAAGAGGAAAAGTCCGTTTGGGAGCAATGTTATCCCAAGGCGCCTGGAGCTGAATTCCAGAAAGCCGCCTTTGGGGAGCAGCCGCGTTACAGTGAGGCTTGTGTTGAAGGCTGCTGGGTGTTAGGGCCCGGCGTTCCCCGCCAGGAGCTCGGGTGCTCCCGGAAGATGCTGCGGACGGGTCTGGAAGTGGCCCGGAGCAAGCCGGTTAACGTTTGCCTTTCGTCGCCTTACGGGCAGTCCAGTGCCACGGTTTAGGCGAGCCTTCCCGGCCGTCCGGGGCCTCGGCATCTCCCAGCCTGCGGTGCCAGAGTGCCGGACCTTCTGTACAGGGCGGAAATGATGCCGAAAATGACCGTAATCTAAGGGCGCCTGAGGCAAGAGCGTTTGGAGCTGGGTTTTCAAAACAAATCTAAGCGCGAGCGTCAGGCCTGCCCGGTGCAGGGAGGGACTGGCCCGCCTCGGGAGTGCCGCCGCAGGGGTCAGGGTCCCCCAGCATCCGTGTCCTCCCCACCCCCACCCCCACCCCACCCCCACCCCCACCCCCACCCCCGCAAAGGGGGGTCCGAGAGGGCGGGGCGCGGGCAGGGGCTCCGCCCTGGGGCGGGGCGCGGGCGGGGCGCGTCGGGCTCCCTCGGGGTCCCCGCGGGCGGGCACTCGGGCGGCCGCGGCGCGATGGAGGCGCCCGCCGAGCTGCTGGCCGCGCTGCCCGTGCTGGCCACGGCGCTGGCGCTGCTGCTCGCCTGGCTGCTGGTGCGGCGCGGGGCGGCCGCGAGCCCAGAGCCCGTGACCCCGGCCAAGGCCCCCGGGACCTCCGCACCACCTTGCGCCCCAGAGCCGGCGGCCGCGCCGGAGGGCCCGGGGGAGCTCGAGGGGCCGGGGGAGCGAGAGGCGGCGCCGGCGGAGGCGGAGGAGCAGGCCGCCGAGGCCAAGCAGGTACGACCCGGCCCTCCTGGGCGCCCCCTCCCCACCTCGGGGCCCGTCTCCCCCTCCCCCCAGCTCAGGCGGGGCCGGGGACCGGGCTCCCAGCCTCGCGCCGACTGTCCCCCAGGAGCGCAGACCCGGCCGAGCAAACTCGCCATGGCCCTCCCCCTCCCGAGTGCCTGCGAGCGCCGAGCCTCTGGGAGTTGTGTAGTGTGTGGTGCTGGCGCTCCACTTCCCGGTCCCGGCTCCCTCCTTCCCAGGCTCGGGTCACACCCACCCCTCGCCCCGCACCCCTCCGGCCCGCGGGTTCCCGGATCCACGTGCATGTTCACGATCTGCGATGATGAGAGTTGTCTCGATAATGAAAAAATGGTCATACGTAGAAAAAAAAATGCTGATTTTTCCTGTTAAGCCAATGTGAAATCCAGACTCCAGAGCCTGTGAGGTCTCGGGGTGGGAAGCCACAGGGCGGGGCCGAAAGAAGAGGCGTGGAACAAACGCAGTCATTGTATTGTGCTTGTCAAACTGCACACGTGCTTTGGCACCTCTGCTCCGCACTTGCAGATAAGCCAGGCCTGGGGGGAGTGAAGGAGAAGGTAAAAGCTCCGCTGAGCACCCCCCCCCCGAACGGGCCCCCCTGCTTCTGCCCCATCCAGGTCCCTGCAGTCCCTGAGCTCTGTCCTGACCTCACGCCTTGCTTCCTTGCTTCGGGACATCAGGAGAGATGTGCACCCATCCCCCAGCCCTGTACACTTTCCAGTGCTGCTCTTCACACTGAGGCCTACTTGGCACCCATGAGACACACTGCCAGGATTTCAGCGCCCTTGACCGCGGCAGGCTACCTCTCGGGGCCCTGAGTCTGTTGGACCACAATGCCTTGTTCTTACTCCCGAGCCCCTCTTCCTGCAGGGGAGGATGGCTGGGACAGTAGAAGCCGTGAGCAGGCTGCTGGGAGCCCTGTCAGTAGAGTATCTGCAGCGTCCTTTAGAATTTTGCTGGACACTGTGGTTTACAGGGGAAAGAACCCTTGAGGGGAGAAGGCCATGAGGGTGGGCCAAGGCGCGGCTTCTCTTTGCCAAGTTAAGCGTGCAGGGACCCCTCTGAGCAGGCGCTTTGTTTGACAAGTGGGTGACTAATTGTGTCATGAGAGTGGATTCTCAACAGCCTGAGGAGGGCTGTTGTATTTCCCCCCACCCTGCCCCCCGGGGGCCAAGGACAGAGACTCTGCTTAATGGAGGCCCAGCTGCTCTTGCGAACCTCCCTGGCCAATGGCAGGTAGGGCTTGGGACCTGTGCTGGTGTGTTAGGTCGGGCTTCTGCCTGCACTCACAGCCTCCCGGGCCTAGGGGAGATGTGGGGGCCCTTCTCAGCTAGCCCCAGGTCTCAACCAGCCCTGCCCCCACGGTTTACACAGGGCCCTCGAAACCCCAGCAGCAAATTCTAGACAGAAGTTTGCGACGCCGCCTTAGTGGCGCTGTCAGTGTCTCGATCCCCTGGGCGACACACTTCTGAGAGAGCTTTGCACAAGGCCTGTGGGGCCCTCAGCAGTTCCAGAGCTGGTGGGCAGGACTCAGCGTCACTGGTCAGGAGCAGCCAGAGGACAGTTTTCCTCATTAGGAAAACGCTTGTCCTGTAGGGGTGAGTGGGTGCTCTGGAGGACAAAGCCCGTCACAGGGGTTCCCACATGGGGCAGTTGCCAGATGACTCTGAGAGTTGAGGCTTGGGTCTCTCTTCCCTTGCGACAGCCGGTCCCGAGATTATCCCAACATAAGCGTTACGTTTAAGTCCGTTTCCCTGCCCTTGTGGGTTCAGACCCCCACCCCTGCTGAGTTGCTGAGCCCCCCTCAATTCCAGCCAGCAAACGGTTGTGGCTGCGCCTCAGGCTTGGGGTCAGGTGCTGGGGGGGACACATACCACTGTCCCCCACTGCTCTGCCTTCCCAGTGGTGGGATTAGCCCTGCAAGCCGCCGCTATGAAATTGTCTGTATATGGATGTGGGGTGGGTGGGGGCATTTTTTGAGATCTCATTATCATATTGCTGGGCCTGGAGAGCGGTAGAAGGGCCCTGGGGAAATGAGGCGGGGGTGGGAGGGAATGGGGGGATGCAGAGCAGTCACCTTGCCTAACTAATGGCACTTCTTCTGATCCAATCATCTTTCTGCCCTGCCAGGCCCGGGAGGCCCAGGGCAGCTGCTGCTTCTGACTCACGAAGCTGATTATTGCAAAGGATCTGGGGCCCAGGGAAGCAGCCCTTCCAGCGCGGCTCTGGGTCACCGGGGAAGCGGCCCCGCTGTGCTGGGAAGCAAAGTAGCATAATGGACTGAGGCACTGGGCAGCCACTGAAGAAATGGGGGGTGATCAGCTGGCCGGGACAGGGAGGCCAAGCAGAGGACAGAGCCGTATTGTTAGAACGTCTTTCTTATTATGTCTCCTAGGGGTGAGTGTAGGGGTGGGCAGCTGAGGAAGCGTGATAGGCGCGCCCCACCCTCACAAAGAATCATGACCAACAATGTCACAAATAAGAGCTGGTCTCTTTTAAGGCCGGGAAACAGTGCCTTTGGGTGCTGATGTGTAGGCTGCGATCTTAGGAGAGCCGGGCTTCTTGCGAAATGGAGGTGTGGATTCCAGCAAGGCTATGTCAGAGGATTTCCCAAACCATGGTCAAGGTGAAAGTCAAGGGTCACTCGAATAGTGCTAGATTTACATCTGTGCCAGAACTCAGACTTCTTGGCACTCTGGGTCCTCACTCTGCTCAGCAACGGAGTAGGGACAACATCACCACACACGGAGTAGGCAGGGAAACTCGTCTAGATTAAAGACTAAAGAGACAAGACAGACAAATGCGATGCCTGCTCCTTGATTGGATTCTGGATTGGGGCTGGGGTGGGGAGCTGTCAAGAACATCTTGCAGGTAGCTGGGAGATATTTCAAAGGAATGACTTATGAGATCATTTTATTGTATCGATGCTCAATTTCATGCATGTGGTGCTGCTGTTGTGATTAGAAACATGTCCTTGTTCTTAGGAAGATGCATGCCTGGGAGGCCGGGGTGGCTCAGTCTGTTAAGCACGCGTCTGCCTTCGGCTCAGGTCATGATCCCGGGGCGGGGCGCTGGGATTGAACCCCTTGTTGCCGAGCTCCCAGCTCAGTCTGCTTCTCCCTCTGCCACTGCCTGCTGCTCCCTCCGCTTATGATCTCTCTCTCTCTGACAAATAAGTAAATAAATAAAATCTCTAAAAAAAAAATAATAAAATAAAATAAATTTTAAAAAGAAAGGTGCATGCCCAAACATTTAGGGACGACATGTCACGATTCTAACAGTGACACACATATGCACGCACGAGAGACCGGAAAGATGGCAAAACGTTAACAGCTGGTGAATTTAGGTGAAGGGTGTACGAGTGTTCATTGTTTCATTCTTCCGATTTTTCTGTAAGTTGAAATTTCCCAAAACACTGTTAGAGAGTACACTTATCTTGATGAGCACTGAGAAATGTAGAGAGTTGTTGAATCATCATATTGTACCCCTAAAACTTCTATAACACTGTATATGAATTATATGTGAAAAAAAAAAAATACAGTGTTGGAAAAAAGAAACCAGTGGGGGAATTTCTCGGGAAAGGGCTTGGTTTTTCAGACAGTCTGGTGGTGGTGGTCTGATTGAGCTGCCCAGCCTCCTTTGGCTGCCCTCACTGTGCAGCTGGACCCTGGACCTTTTCCCAGAACCCCGAGATCATGACCTGAGCCAAAGGCAGACGTTTAACCAACTGAGCCACCCAGGTGCCCCCGTAGTTCACCTTCTGAAGTTATCCTGCTGTTAGGTCCGTGCTGTGTCCCTTACCCTCACCATCGTCATCACCACAGGCGTGTCCCTGGGCCCCCCACCCCCTGCAGAGGCCACGGAACGATTTAGGAGACGGTGAATCCACTCCCGCATCATCTGTCCCGACCTTCGTGATGTCACCATGGCCTCGCTCTCTGTTCTCTTAACAAAAGCGCAGAAGCCAGCTAGTCGAGGGCCAAGTAGACATTTGGCCGTTGTTCATATCACTTCGGAATCTTGTCTCAGTCAGCTCGGGCTGCTAAACAAAATACCACAGACTGGGAGACTTAAACAGTACAGATTTATTTCTCGCAGCTCTGGTGGTTGGAAAGTCCAAGATCAAGTGCCAGCCAATTCAGTTCCCAGAAAGAGCCTGTTTCCTGGCTCACAAGACAACCGCTTTCTGGCTATGTAGGCACGTGGTGGAGAGAGAGCTCTCTGGTCTCTTCCTCTTCTTATAAGGACAATAATCCCTTCCTGGGGGCCCCACTCTCAGGACCTCATGCTACCCTCGTTACCAACAAAGGCCCCACCTCCAAATACCATCACACTGGGGCTTAGGGCTTCAACGTAGGAATTTGGGGAGGATATAGACACTCAAGTCTGTAGTAGGTCTAGTGATTTGCTGGGAAGGAAACTGGAAATAGTCCAAATGTCCATTAATTAGGACATTGAGTTAATTAGCAAGTTGGTAGAAATAAGTAAGGAAAAGTGCAGAACATAAAACAGTGTGTTCACAATAATTACAGTCATGAACATCCCCGGACAGAGGACGATGCCCAGAGCTGCGAACAAGAGTTCAGTGTTCGGAAGCGCAAGAGTGTGTTTTATGCGAAGTCATTCTAGCTCATAATTTTTTTTTTTTTCCCATGTGAGAAAGAAGTCCGGGGACTTTCCTAATGGCTCAACTTTGTTCTTTCTTCCAGAGATAGTCTTGTTTGCACACAGAAAATGTAGCCGTCGGTCAGAATTTTCCGGAAGTAGTGAAGCTGCCTAGCTCCAGAGGGAGGGTTAGAAGGGAAACGTGGAGCGTGCGCCCTTTCAGACAGTCTCTGTCTGTTTAGCCCTGTTCTTTCCCGGATGGTTGGCCTCAGCCACAGAGTGGGAGGGCTGAGACGGCCTGAGACCATTGGTGGATGTGCTTCCTGAGCAATGTCCGATCCCTGGTGGCTCAGGCATTTCTGGAACAC